TAAATTAATAGGAATTCATCTTACACTCAATCTAGGATACGTTCATTTACTCTTAAAAGAGAAGAAGAAGAAAGAAGAGAGGCCTCTAAATCCAAACCTGGATTATAAATAGGCATTTAAGAAGTAAGTTACTGTCTTAAATTTACAGTTAATTTCTTGTGGGCAAATGAGGAAATAGGTGAACTACTACCACACTCAAACCAAATCTCAAGTTCATAGAAACAATAATTCGTGTGCAGTGCATGTTGCAAAGAACTTCTGAAACATGCGTGCTTTCTCTACAGCTACATTGACCTTCATGTCTTCTCTACTAAATGAAACCATGCTTGTTTTCTGAAAGAGTCTGTTAAAGCCACAGAAACTTTGCATTTGATCACCGGGTCTCAAAAATAGTTTGAACTCTTAAGATAAAAATTACTTGGGGGATGAGGAATGAAATTCAAAAGCCCCTTAAAATGAGTACTGCTGCTGAGATTTTCCTTCCTGGAGTGTACTAATGTAGTTATACTTAACAAAAGGAATAATCAAATGTGACTGAAATATAATAAAAATTCAACTTGTTCATAAAAATTTTAATGACAAACAGCATTTGGCAACTTTATAGGATTTCTCCTATCTCAGAAAATCCATTTTGTAAGAATGTGATAGAACATATTGAAAGCCAACTAAAAGTACTTTTGCATTAAAACTCAGTATCAAAGAGTAAAGAAAAAAAAAAAACAGGCTTTTTTTTTTTTTTTTTTTTTTCCAAGTTCTGGTCACTTATTTATGCATCATTTTGTTCAAATCAGTTCTGCCTACAAGTCAAAAGGCTGGTGCATTATCTAGTGCACCACCCTCACGGTGCTATTTCTGAATATTGGAATATTCTAAATAGGGATTTCTAACATCTAGCATTGAGGCTGTGACTCTGTTAGAACGTTTAAAACAGAGCTTTATGAATAGGATATTCTATAGACACATGTAGGAAAGAATTCTGTTCCCAAAGCCCAGGTATGAATTAAATGAATTAATATTTTTAAGATAGCATTAGGAACTATTGAAGTGGGGCCAGGCATTTTAAAACATTATCTGATTTTTTTTTTCTTAAAATTTTAATTTTGATGATGATATTTAAAGAAACAGAATTGATTGTAACTTTGCAGCTTTTTGATTTATGTAGCTTTAATTTATTTATGAAAGTTAATTCACTTCTGATATGTGGTTTTTAAAAAGATAAAAATGAATTTGTATATACTAAATTATATCCCCAAATCTACCATATGTGGATTTATATTCATTTTCTCCTATTTTCAGAATTGAAACATTTATATTTAATTTTAAATTTAAATGAAATGTTTTAAATAGTTCCATTATTATCACTCATATTGTTGCCACTCATATTGTAGGTGAGTGTTTTCATTACTGATAACTGATGCAGTTTCCTCATTTAAAAAAATTGTTATTCTGAAAATTAATGATTTTAGAAGAATTTTGCTAGATAAATTTTCCTTGGCTTTAATTTCTTATAATCACTTGGAAAATAATAACCAAAAAAAGTCCCCCAAATTTCAGCAGTATGGATTTTTAAAATACCTTTCTTCATTTTCTCAAACCACTTCCATTCATTGTTACTTGTGTTTTCTGTTGGAAATCATGGATTTAAAGTTTCCCTAGCTTATTGGGAAAAGTTAACCCAGAAGTTTAAAGCCTTTAATCTTTTATTTGATTCTGGCCTTAGAATGTCCTTAAAAGCTTTCTCCTGGCTTATAGGAGGAACCACATGCCAAGGATGCTTTATACCTTCCCATTACCATTTAATTGTGGCAAGCCTTAATTTAAGAGTGTCACTACCAAGAACAATTAAGTTTTCCAAAAATAATAATGAAGATTAAATATGCAATTGTGATTGTAGAAGAGAAAGCTATTACAATGATCCATAAGAATTTCCTTTATAAGAATAACATTTTATTTATTGGTATTAGACCTTTTGTCATACAAAGCTCATATTTGTTTTCTTCTCTGAACACTTAAAATTTTAAGATTTGATAGTGAAAGTAATTTTTAAAAGAAACTTACTAGATATAGCAAACATGAGGAGGGAGAAGATGGTGAGTTATGGTCATTATAAATAATACTTTGCAGGACTCTTATCATTTTCCCCTTTTGTTAATAATTCAGAATATAGTTAGTGTACCCAGTATTCCAAACAGTACAATCCCAGTTATATTCCAGTGGATCTGTAGAAGTAATTTCTGTGATCAGACAGTGCAGTCTAATGACACTGAAGCCTTTGTTTTAGATCTTTTGTCCTATTGACAGTAGCTATTGGTGGCCTCATGATTATTTTCTGGTTTTTTTGGTTTTTGTTTTTTTCTCACAAAGCAAATGGTGGGCATCCATGTTTACATTTTATCTTTCCGCAGTGTACTTGGCTTGACAAAGACAAGCAGGCTTCTCTATTGAGACTTATTATATTGTTAGTTTTCATAGACACTTATTTAATCTTTTTTTATTGTACAGCAAGGTGCTCTAAGTAATATTCTATAAAATATATTTAATAGAAATTTGAGTTTGATATTCATGGACATGAATACATGTATTTTTTTAAGAAATAAGTATTGTGTAACACTATGGCATTGCTTCTATAGCCAAAGTATAAAATTTCTGGAACACTGACATATAAAGACTGCAGTTAATTCTGACACTGTATCTAATTAAAAGAGGGTGATTTGCATTTTGTAAAATTATCCTGCACATCGAGTTGCATGCCTTAAAGCCGAAACTCTAGGATTGTGTTCATGGTAGAACAGTTTATCTGTTCCTAACAGTGAAGCAAGGTCTTTAGCGCTTCTATAACTACCTTTGGAAATACTGTACAATGTTAGAATAATTTATTTTGCTTTACAGGAGTTTGTCATGTATTGACTTTAATATTGTATTTTGGTAATAAATTTTTGTTAAAAACACTTGACTCTTAAGTTTTTTTTTATAACAGGTTATTATCTTAGAAATGTTGATTTGACTACTTAGAAACTTGTATTTAAATAATTCAGAACTTCCTGGGATAAATTTATGATTGCCCTTTGGTAACTTGTTAAACTATTGCTGACTAGCATTAAACTGTGTTACACAAATACTATTGAAAAGTATTTAGTGTTTTTAATCCTTTTTAAAATTCAATCTAATTTTGAAGATTTTTCCCCTTGGTATACAGTTCTTCACTTAATCTTCCCATCACATGCTTCTCATATGCTTTCAATTCTATTGTAATAAAAGTGCTAGAGACTAGTTCTGCTAAATGACAATTAGCACACTTCATTGAAAGCCAAAGATTACAATAACATGTTGTGGGGGCAGACAGGTGGTGTGGTGGTTAAGGGCACAGGACTCCCTCATTACCAACCACAGTTTAAGTCCTGGACTGGTGGCTTGCTTTCTCACTTTTTGTCTCTCTTGCTCTCTCTCACTCAATCCCTCTCTGGTCAAATTAAAATTAATTAATTTGTTCTTTAAAAAGATATATGTTGACATCTTGACCATTTTGTGGTCTGTATCAAGTATTTTTGGGGGAGGGGCGGTGGGAGAAGTTTTCGCTATAGGGTGTGTGCGCTCACCAGACAGACAGAGAGAGACAGAGAGACAAAAAGCGAGAAATCACCCCCCAGGGGGGATGGCCACACCGCAATCCCTTCTCCTCCATTCTCCTCTCGGGATCTTGGGCACGCACGCACACGGGCCCGGTGTGAGTTTAAGCCACTGGGTCCGGGACGCGAACCGCGGTCAACTACGTGGGAGTTCAGCGACATAGCCATTACGCTAACTGCTGGTCCCTATATCAAGTATTTTTTGATGTCAGGTTTGCTGCATTAGCAAGTGACACTAATGTCTGGTTATCAATTTGTGGTGGCCTTAGAATCAGGCCACCATAGCTTTAAGTAACTGAGGCCAAATAATGTTTCCTACTGGCAGAAACCTCTTGTCCTGTGTTTCCCAGAGGCAACATAATCTTATCCCCCAAACTTCAACACTGTCACTGAAGTCCAGAGTTAGTTGTACTGAGTCGTTGGGAAAGTCATGACGTATTTTTCTATATAAATATGCCCAATAAGAATTCTAGCATAGAAGGTCTAGAACACATCATCCTGTTTGGTAGCCCCTAGCCCACATGTGGCTTCTGAGCACTTGAAATACAGCTAATAAGCTTCAAGTATAAAATACACCAGTAATGACAAAGACTTAGCACAGAAAGAAATGTAAAGTATCTTAATAGCTTTTTATATTGATGACATGTTAAAGTGATATTTGGGACATACTCAATTAAATAAAATATATTATTAAAATTAATTTCACCATTTTTTATTTTTGAATATAGCTACAAGGCATTTTAAATTACATATGTGGCTCACATTACAGTTTTCTTGGATAGCTTTGATATAGAAGAGACATTGGCAAACCATAACTATCACTTCAAATCTAGCCTACCACCTATAAAACTTATAAAGTTTTATTGGAACATAACCATTTATTTGCATATCATATGTGGCTATTTTCAAGGTGTAATAGTAGCACTGAATCATTGTGAGAGACAGTAAGGCCCACAAAACTCAAATTATTTTTGTCTGCTTGATAGAAGTTTGTTGACCTCTGAATTAGGTCAGTGCTATAACTTGTATGTTAAAGCTACCAGAAAGGAAAATGTTTAAAGCTTTTTGTTGGCGGGGGGTGGTGAAGTGAGGATTGGGTTAATGGGAAATATTTTCTTTGGTGGGGGGAGTGGGAGGGATTAGATTAGTTGGAATTTTTAGAGAGTTTTGCTGTAGGTGCATGTGCTCACCCAAGAGACAGAGACAAAAAGTGAGAAATCGTCCCCCAGGGTGGATGGCCACACTGCAGTCCCTTTTCCTCTATTCTCCTCTTGGGATTATGAGCACACACACACACACACACATGTGCCTGACATGAGTTTGAAGCCATCAGGTCC